ATTTTCTGGGCAACCTGTATGTTGATGTTGCCTGTTAGTAAAATTGCCTATTCCTTTTCTCACGAGGCCCAGAGCTCCGATTACTATTGGTACAGTCTCAATCTTCATTCTCCACATCCTTTTAATCTTGATCTCCAGGTCCTTGTATTTGGACAATTTCTCGATAATTTTTATGGAGGTGTTTCTCTCAGATGGTACTGCTATGTCAGTAAGCATACATTTCCTTAATTTCTCGTTTACATCGCTGTCAGTTTGAATTGACATGTCCCAGAGGATATTTACATTGTTATTTTGGGTAGCTGTGTCTTGTTGGTGCTCATACCATCTCTCAGTGGTTTCGATTTTGTGCTTCTTGCATATCTTCCAGTGCACATATGTCGCTATTTTGTTATACCTATGGGTATATTCATTTTTTGCAAGTTCCGGACATCCTGGGATAATATGGTCGACAGTTTCATCATATTTTCCACAGAACCTATATTTCAGGCTAGTTTCCATCCTTGATTATGTGACAGTGATAGGATCTGGTTGCGAGGCTTTGGTTCGGAGCTGCTATGATTATGTCTTCTGTCTCAGTTTTGAACCCGATGCTCCTCAGCCACTAATGTGCTTTCTGTTGGTTCACATATGTTTCTTTTGTTCTTTTTAAGTATTTACCATGCAACGCCATGTTCTCCCAATTTTTTTGTAATTTCATTTGGCCAAGTTGTTTTTCTTCCTGTTTTATTCGTTTTTTTGTTTTCGGTTCTTTTTCTTCATAATTGAATGTTGTATTCCGTCTCCTGCATTAATTCCCAAGTATTTGTATGTACCATCTAGTTCCTTAATCTTGCTGTTGATGTCAAGGTCTAAATGCGTAGTCTTTGTTAGTTTGCTACCGTTGAAGGTGGGTTTAGCACATTTGTCGATGTGCTAAACCCACCTAATGTCTTCGTTAAAGGTTTTGACAATGCTGAGTAGGTTTATCTGATGGTTGTCATCCTTAGCAACCGTTTTAATAGCATCAATATAGAATAGGTGATTCAGTTTGCCATTCTGTAACTTCTATCCGTAGCTACTGTTGTTCAGTAGACAGCTGAGTGTGGCTAATCCAAGGCAGAAGAGTAGTGGTGACAATGAATCGCCTTGGAAGATCACACTTTTGATGTTGATTGGTCTCGATGTTAATGACTTGTTTGTATGATTTAGGTTCAGTGTAATCTTCCAGTTTTCATGCTCTCTGTTATGAATTTGACCGTTGTAGGGCATACTATGTATATTCTTAGGCTCTTCTCTATCCATTCGTGTCACATACTCTCGAACGCCTTTATGTAGTCCTTTCATGCTATCGAAAAGTTTTTTTTCTTTCTTTTTTTTTTCACCTCTTCCAATGTTATTTTGTTGACAATTAGTTGTTTTTTCCTCCCGTCACTTCCTCTTTCCACTTCTGTTCTGCTGGGAGTAAATTGTTTTTCTCAAGGAAGTTGTAGTCCTCTCCGTTATGATAGAACTGAGGAGGCAGGTAATGCGCCTATAGTTCTTCGGATTCTGCGTCTCTTCTGTTTTGGGGAGTAGATATGTTACTCCCCACATGAACCATTGAGGCATTTTTCTGGGTTTATGATTATATATCATTGTATGCCCATGCGACGTCTTTATTTATCCAAAAATTGACCATTCGGTCGATTCCTGGTTTTTTCGAGTTTGTGGTTCTGCAGATGGCAACAGTTTTTCAAGTAATATTGATATCCCTTCATTTTTGGCACTCTGTGTGTTGTTCTTGTTGTTGCTTGATCCATGTAGCTCTTCCATTGTTCATTTTGAAGTTTTCCCACATCTTACGCCAGAACTCCTCGACTTTCTGGATATTAGGTGGGTCATTAATCTCTATTTTACTTTTTCTCGGTTCTCGATATAGTTTCTTGGCATCTTCTTTGAAGATCTTGTTTTTTTCCCGAAGAATCTGTTTCTTTTTTCATAACGCCTGATTCTCCGTGCCTCCGTTTGAATTTGCTGTTTTCTTTAACTTTTATGCTAAAGATTCATTTCAATTGTCTCCTTTTCCCTTCTTTCACTTTTAAGCCATTGTTGTTTTTTTTGTTTTGTTTTGTTTTGTTTTTGTTTGTTTGTTTGTTTTTTTGTAGCATATCAACCTCAATGTGTTATTTAATACGATAAAATTTTTATTACTAGTAATGTTTTTCCTTCATAAATGTATTGCTAGTAATATTTATTTTCAAAAATGTATTGCTGGTAATATTTTGCTGTTCAAAAATGTAATGCTGGCAATAATGTATTGCTGGTAATAATTTTTTCTTCAAAAATTCATTGCTGGTAATAATATTTTACAAAAATGTATTGCTGGTACATTTTAATACGAAAAATTGTTTGGGGGTTCACCCCTCCACTTCCATGATCAAACATCTGAATTGTATATATAAATTGTAAATAATATTTATCATCTCATTGGGATGCGTCATTAGATTCCCCCCCCCTACTGAGAGGTTGTGGTATTATGGTGTATGGAGGATTGATTGGCGACGGATGAGTTTTTATGGTGAATGAGGAAATGTGAATGGGTTGTGAATCCGATTAGCTGGGTTTAAGATAGTTGGTGAAAAACCAGCCTCAATCCATTCCTCCTTTTCGTTCGTGTGCCATAATTGTACAATGTACAATAAATAGAATTTAATAAGAAAAATCTCAAGTTGATCTTAAAAATTGCCGCAAAACATTGTTGATTTATTTAAGACTAGCAGCATGGCCCGGCGTTGCCCGGCGTTGCCCGGCGTTGCCCGTGCCTGTTTCAAAAATCGTACGACTCATACAGCAATCGCTATCACTTGACTTAAAATATTTTTGCCCTTCCTTGCCTTTAAAGGAGTGCCCTTTGCCGTGCTGATGTTGCTACATGCCTTACTTCTTGCCTATCTCACCCTGCGAATTTTTTCGAAACTCTATACTAAACATTAAATCTGTTACAAAAAAAAATTAAACAAAATGAACACAAAATGATCAGCTTTAAAAAAGGACTCGTAACTGGAAAAACTGAATGAAAAAAGAATGTTAACAACAAATACTTTTTCACACCTAACCCAGTTCTGCGGAATCAGAATCAACGTTGAGTTTAAGCAAGCGAATGAGCCAATTGGAGTAAAGTGCCATGCAGATTTAAATTTTTCCCTCTTGTGACGAATGCAGCTATCGATTTTTTTTTGCATGCTAGCATGCTAGTTAACCTTCGTATCAGTCAGCTGTTGGCTCTCACGCTGGCCAATAGAATATTCCTGCCTATTCGTGGCAGCCAGCTATTGGCACTCACGCTGGCCAGTACAAAAATGGCCGCAAACTATATGAAAACTGCCGTAGAAGCATGAAAAAATCGATTATTTCCACTATCGATGGGAGTTAGGAAATGCAAAGTCGGTCTTGGCCTTTCCGCTAACTTGGAGCATGTGCATGTAAATTTTAGTGCAAATCCATCGAAAATTGCGGCCGTGCATTCGTTACACACATACACACACACACACATCCTGCCTTTTATAGATAGAGATGGAACGATCTATTATGACGTGTGTCTAATTTGTATTTAGATACATTTTATTTATTTTCAATGTTTCTAGTTGAAGTGCTCACGTCTCTTGAATATGATCTATTATTGTACATAATTAGGTTATAATAAAATATGTATTTTATATGAATACTACCTTATGAAAATTGACATGTATTAGAGTTGGAGGCTTCGTATCATAGATTCGATGGGGGCCCATGGGACTCTTGCAACGGTCCTGCCAGGCCCCGAATACTCTCGTAAACTATACATCTTGTCACCAACTACGCTCGTTCATGGGTTTCATGGGCTTGATTAATATATAAAAAATGAAAGAATCATGCCAAAAATAGAAAGAGCAGAGGAAAAAATAAAAGAATCCTGCCCTTTTCCAAATTTCATCTTAACCGTAAATCTATCGACATCGTTCAAATGAACAATTTCGCCAGGAAATGAGTGACAGCTCTCCAATATTACAAGGTTAAGTTTGTTCTGGTGTAAAATACATTTTTTCAGGCTCCCTGTATATCTTTCCGTTTAAACATCTTTTGCAGTCAGCTATCAAAACCAAAGGAAACGGTTTATCAAATTTCCCCGAATGCCGATTTCTGGAAAATCTCAGACACCGTAAGAATCATGCGTATTACACTGACTAAAAGCAACTGTCCTGTTCGAAGAAACCTTTTAACATTAACTGCTAAATGAGTCACACAAGTAGATCTCGGTCCCCTGTCGCGGTCGAAGTGGTCATTTCGAAAATCAAATGGAATTTATTGAACACTGCTATGATGGAAACTTTTAAGAAATTGGAAACTTTTCAAATATTTTCCGCAGTTCTTTTATTTCATATAACATTTTTTTTTATACTTTCTTTTGTTCAAATAAATAATTTATACGGTTTAATTAACCCGTTAAAGTCACTTGTGTTGGATTTATTCAAGTTATGTGTATGTTTCCTCTCCAGTGGATTATAGTGATTTTCCAAGCGTAGCTCAGATGTGGCACAAGGCCGAATGTATGGGGCACCCAATGAGGACCGAACTCACTACTCAATCATAATTGTTCTAGCGAGACATGCTTGCTAACCATTACATCACCTCGAGGTGCCCTCTCCGGTGGATTATAGATCCATAACCCCAACAGGCTACTTGATACTGCTAGGGTTTCCGTAAATTTCTTTCAAATCAGCCGTGTATCTCTGGTTGATTGATTGAGTTGCTTGTTACGGTTTATTAACCTTTTGCAGGTTATTTAAAACCCAAAACTAGTTTTAGATTGTAAGAATATTAATATTAAAGATTATTTACTGAACCAAGTTCTACTAATTAACCCATAACTGGAGGGGGAAGAGGTTTATTCATACCTTTCCAAATCATATTTGCGCGTAAGTGAATATAAAAACCCGACTGGAATTGAAACTCGGCTATCCGATTTCCAGCCTTTATTCATTACACCACTCGCACACCCAAACTTACAGCACCTGGTATTACCAAGCGGTTACCCATTTAGATACTGACCAGGCTCGAGTTATCTTAACTTCGGTGATCGCACAGGAACTGGTGTTTCAACGTGATATGGCCGTTAGCCGTGTGTGTTCGGAAGCGTGTCTTACTTATGGGAATAAATGCGAAAGGTGGAAAGAAAACAGATAAATTTGGTGTTGCTTTGAATTCAGAGTTTTCTTTCTCTGAGATTGATTGTCTAGGAAGATTATAATTTGCCTTTCTATTAACCCTGATGAGGTCAATGGAGAAGAGATGTGTTGATAGCTTTCCACGAGAATTTGAACTCAAAACGTCAACTCCACTTTCCACGCCGATAACCGCTATGCTACACGCACATTAATTTATTTATTAGACAGAATTATAAAAAAAAATCTGTTTTTGCTTCGCAACTTCATTCTTCAAAATATAAAGTAGAATTATATTTTATTCAATTCTATAATCACCATTATTTGCAATTAATTGTTGCCAATTGTCAGGTACAGTACCAGGTGTTCCCAAGCGGTCCCCCATCTAAGTACTGACCTGGCTCTACGATGCTTAACTTCGGTGATCGAACGAGAACCGGTGTTTTCAGCGTGATTTGACCGTAAGCCCCCAAAATCCAACCCTTACCTCACAGTCGGTGGAGGGTGTAAACGGTAGTGTCAGAGCTATGCCGTCCGGAACTTCGTTCCTGGTAGGGCCACCCAAGGCGGACAGGTCTGACACAAACGCCGGCTAACAAAGAGCGTCTGCATCGGCAACCGGCGGCTTCTGGTCGTTCCTGTCTCTGCGTCTGTGGGAACCCCGCAGCAAGCAAGAACGTTATCCGAGTAGGCCTGGGTACCCTACTTCTGTAATTTATCCCAAGAATCTTCTTCTCACAACAGGAAGAAGCCGGCTCAATCCGCCCAGGGTGAATGTCGCATCACACACACACACACAATTGTCAGGTAGCACTGAACTACTTTTAAGAGAAATTCCTCATATTCTCTCATACCAATGCAAGGACCGAGACCCAATCAAGTTTGATAGTTACTGTTTGGGGTTCTATGAGCGTAAAAATGAGAAGGTGAATGTTATGGTCCAGGTTAGGACCAAGGAAGAACAACACGAACAAAAGAGTAGAAATAACGAAGGTATATTACACGAAATAATAATACAAGATGTGGAATGTGTTAGTATGACTGTCAGTCTGGTATGGAGTGACTATCGGCTCGACTCGATTCGGCATCTAGCCCCCCCCCACGAGGGTTGCATATGGCACAAGGCCGAGTTTAACGTGGGTTTCCCGAGCCCGTAGGCTCGGTCAAAAAATGCCCGTAGAACCCGTATAAACGGGATCGGGTTGGTCAACCTCCCCGAAAGCGACTCTGCCCTTCGGCGGAGCCTCGTCCGGGTTCCTCTCTGCTCAGAGGCAGAAAGTTCGACCGTCAAGCCGAGAAGCTCGGCTTGATTCGTCCCTCTCTCTTGAGAGGTGTAGTATACATAGTCTTAGGAAGAGTTTATTCTGTTCTTATGTAGTTATAGGTAAGGATCCATGACAGTGGGGATTACAGAGAATTGAAAGTGGAAGAGAATGAGAAGCCTGGGGCCAATATTGTTCATATAAATAAAGAAATTTCTTACTTGCATCGGATGCAAGCAAATGCAATAAAAAACTTAACAGAAGCAACTTGTCAGTAATTTGCCATGGAGTATATATATATATATATATATATATATATAAAATGGATATTGAAGTCAACACTCAGAGGTGACACTCTATTTCATGCCGAACGTAATCGTCAGGTTGGATGTTGACTTCAATGCCCACTTTTGTATTTACATACGCTCTATCCCTGAAATTGAGCACTTTAGTTTTTTTTTTCTGAGATGAGGTATTATGTACACAATTTGCATTATTCGGACTATTGTCCTCATCTTTGTCGCCATATTTATTACAACGTTTCGGCCTTTCAGTATCTGTCTATATGAGATGAGGTATTATGTACATTATTTACATTATTCGGACTATTGTCCTCATCTTTATCGCCATATTTATTACAACGTTTTCAGGTGGTTGGAATGTCGAACTGAACTATTTGCTCACTGGTAGTTCCATCTTTGATGGATGTCAGTTATCAGTTATCTCCTGTTAATTCCCCTCTCCACTACCTTAACCGGGTATTGAACTCACACTCTTTCGGGTCCTGTCACTGGATCTTCATATTGCAACTTTGTTATCATTGCTTTTCTCTGGCACTCCTTATTACTGTTTCCCATATTGTATTTATTTCTATGCTTGGTCGGCTCAGGAGATTTTTTTTTCCAAAAATCGTCAGCATTGTGACCGTGTTTATAGTTGATATTATTGCGATCGGACATACAAAATATTCGAACAATTTCTACATAATTTAAATCCAGAAAAGAAAAATATCATACCAATACAAGAAAACTTAAATAAAAAAAACTTAACCGCACCACCATGACAGTTATTTTTAACGAAACTTGTATAAAACAGTGACTGATGCCCAAATACACAATTATATATATATATATATATATATATATAAAAACGGAATCGCTCCAAGCAAGGCAGTAATGTCACTAAAACACAAGGGGTGTGGAAGAATTAGGAACAGAAATATTAACGATGACCAGAAAGAGAACAGTGTAATGAGGTGGACAGTAGATAGCAATTGATATTGCATTTAAATTTTTTGTAGATTAAAGTTGGCTGGAAAGTATAGGACCGGAAGAGAGATCCACAAGCGAGAAGTGCGAGAAAAGAAACTGTTAGCATAAAAATTACGGTTACATCTCGGCAGCTCAACTGTCAATTAATGAGATCTTGGCGCCAGTCTAGTCCAGAGATTAAATTCAAGACGTTTAGGTACCATAGCGAAGTGCACATTTGAACAATTAAGCATAAGCGAATGGTAGACTTTTAGATATGTAAAACCGATTCTGGAGAGAAAAAAATTGTCTAGCACGACACAGTGTACCAACCTTCCTCACTTTCTCAGTGGAAATATATATATATATATATATATAGAGAGAGAGAGAGAGAGAGAAAGAGAGATAGATAGATAGATAATATTAGTGGTCTATATATATATATATATATATATATATATATATATATATTTCCAAGAGGATAAAATCCAGGTAGAGCTCAATGTTCAGTTCAGCACAGAGCAAGAAGATAATATATATATATATATATATATATATATATATATATATATATTCATCAGACATATATATATATTCATCATATATACATATATATATATATATATATTCATCACATATATATACATATATATATATACATACATATATATATATATATATATATATATATATTTATATATATATATATATATATATATATATATATATATATATATATATATATATATATATATATATATATATATATATATATATATATATATATATCAATAATGATGTCCGGGCAAAACGTAGTCCAATAATATTACATAGTTATCGCACTTTTATCCAGTTATCATGCAATTCTTTTCTTTGGTAAATTTTATTCCAAATCACAATACGAAGCACGAAGCGTACAAAATGCGTATTAAAGACGCTTTATATGGGTTTGTTCAAAGCGGTAGAGTCTTTGAAATAATGACTGATAATGAAGGGTTCCGATATTTTAGGTACATTCTATATCGAGATTTTGGAAAGAAAATCGAATAAATGTCCCGGTGTTAATACAGTCAGCAGCAGTGCTTACTTGACAAGTAATTGTATCTTTCCAAGGCGATACATTTATGTTCAAATCATCCGTGTATCTTCGGAAGCGTGTCTTATCTCTGAGAATAAATAGGAAAGGTGGAAAGAAACAATTAAATTTAGCGTTGGGTTCATGCTACTGTTACGGTAGACTCGGCCGATTGGGAGGGTGAAATACAGCCTTTAGACTGATAAATAAGATTTATGCAAACAGTATGATAAATAAGAAAGCGTGAATAGAAACATTGACGAGTTTTCGTCTGGCATACAAGTGCCTTTAAAAACTTTAGCGTTTCAAATCGTGGAGAGATACAACTTGAAGCGGAATGAATCAAACCTGATTATAAAGTCGAGAAGCAAACTGCTTTGTTATAAACTTAAACGGAAAGAAAATCACGATTGTAAATTTTTGTGGTTCTTTTTTTTTGTGCTGAAGTGTTCATGTACAATTTTCTACGGTTAATGACAAAAGTAAGATCAGCATCCATTATCTTTCCTGTCTCTACTGTGACTGTGTTATTCACAACCAAATTTTACTTCTGCTTTTGCTGTCCATTGAGCACCATCCAACCAACTTTCTGCTTCACATATAATGCTTTCTTCTTGCTATGTTTCCGGCCCACATCGATCTTTTTTTTTTATTTTGTTTAATTTGTAGAAAAAAAAAACATTGCGTTTTATGTTGGGGCTGAGATAGTTGCGTTTTTCCCAGCTGCGCCAACGGTTGGTGTTCGATTTTTAATACAACAAAGCTTTGGAATGTTGATTTTTTTAAAAAAGGCAGTTCATATTTAATTGAATAATTGCCGAAGTACAATCTTCTTACACCCATTTATCGAGGGTCCTTCAAGGAAAAACTTATTCCCCCACCTTGCAGCTGCTTCCCTACAGATGCAACGTAGACAGCATATCGCTACTATTTCGATGGCAAATCTTCAGATTAGCTCAATTCTTTAGTTCTATTAGTTTAGACAGTTACAGCTCGGGCACGCCAAGCTATTCCCATGAAATCGAAGGAGCCTTATTTCCAAATGTAAGGAAAACGTTCCACTCTGATAACTGGAGTGGACTCCCCTGAACACTAAAATATTTTTTTCTTCGAGTCAAGGGTCAAACGTTACTTATCCTCCTTATCCTCATAATTGTTGTGGATTCCGGGTTGAAATCCGGTACCAATAAATAACAAACGCGAGGAATGAATATAGGAAAATAATGTATTAACGTAACAATACAAACTGGTAAAGCAGGTTAGTAGTTCCAGGAATACGGGTTAGTAGCAAAATATCGATACAGTCTTTGGTATTGAAGTATTGCTGTATAACTTCTTACTGAGTCTACGTGCTCGCTCACTGTGACTCCTACAACGCTGTTACCTCACCCCTCACTCTTCCGGTTACCTACAACCTTTTACTCTGTCACTCGGTCTTGTTCTGTCGGGTCTTCACGTAGCCATAGTATATGTATATACTGGGTGAGTCCATTTGTTTAAAAAGGGGAGAACCCCCTCAACAATAATCTTCACTCCTACTTCTTCCTATATTTATATAATATTGGTTTGGTTTGCTTTCTTTTACGGCATAACAACCTCAATTGGTTATTTAATGCCGACGAGATTTTTGTTCATTATTTATATTATTCGGATTATTGTCCTCATCTTTGTCGCTATATTTATCACAACGATTCGGCCGTTGTACGCTCCGGCCTTCTTCAGATGATTGGAATGTCGAACTAAACCCTTTATTTCGCTCACTGAGGTAGACTGTTCTAGTTCCACGTGCCATGTTTGATGGATGTCAATTATCAGTTATCTCCTGTTAATTTTCCCTCTGAAAGTTCTCCACTGCCTTAACAGGGTATTGAACTCACACTCTTTGGGTCCTGTCACTGGATCTAACCAAAGCCTTTATCCACTGTGCCATGTCTCCATGACTGGGTATGAATTTCTGGGTACTATAAACCTAATATCTTCATTTTTACCAGTGCTCATATTACAATTTTGCTGTTATCATTTCATGTTTTTACCAGAGCTCATATTGCAACTTTGTTATCATTGCTTTTCTCTGGCACTCCTTATTACTGGTTCCCATATTGAATTTATTACTATGCTTGGTCGGCTCAGGAGATTTTTTAGCCTAGCATATGTGCTGATTCCTTAAGTTCACGAATTTTCCAATGGTGTTCCTTGTCTATGATCTCAACATGATCCAATAGAGGGCGGTGATCTCCCTTTTCTCTATATATGTGGTCAGCCACGCCTGATTTTTTACTTCCCCTTGCGTTACAGCTTTCTGGTGTTCTTGAAACCTTACCTTGAGGGGGCGGCCTGTTTCTCCTTTATATTCCTTTTCGCAGCTGCACGGGATAGATTTTTGTTGCTACTCATTTTTTTCTAAAAATGTATTACTGGTAATAACTTTTTTTCCAAAAATGTATCGATGCTAATATTTTTTCTTCAAAATTGTATTACTGGTAATAATGTATTGCTAGTAATAATTTTTTCTTCAAAAATTCATTGCTGGTAATAATTATTTAGAAAGATTTATTGCCGTATTAAAACCTATTTTTACACTTTCATAGTGCATTGACCCCATTTTGGGGTGAACTATTTGCCCACAGATGGGAATCCTGTAGGTGCTACTACACCGAGTCAGGATGGACCTGGGAAGACCAGCAATTAAGAGCTGGTTTCGCGCTTCTCAAATCTTCCTGATCAGAGGTCTTGCTGTCGGATGTAGTTTATTGTCTTACACATGACGCCTCATTTGGGTTGGGTCTTAACTCTCTGCAGAGGTGCATTGGGCTTATTCTGAAGCCCCAGCCGACAGGGTGTATATCATATTAGTCATTTATCATAAATATCTGAACAGTAACCATCTACCTTAAATGTCTTTCCAGCTTTGCATTTGGTGAACTTTAACATAAAATAATTTAACCTTTGGCGTACGAAGCTAAACAGTAAATATCAAAGCAAGAATTGCGAAATCTGTAGAACAACAATTGCGATGGAAATGCTGGAATTCACAAAATTCCAGATAGGATGAAGCGGAGAAAGTCGTCAGAAATGCTAACTTAAGACAGCATTCATTTTATTTCATGGGAATCTATGAGCGACACATATGAAGAAATACGATGCCGAATCTTCTTACAGACTGAACGAGGCATGATATAAATATGACGAACTAGCATTGACGGAATACTGCGTTTATTCACGATATTTAAACTGCAGCCTGAATTAGAAGTTGTCCCTGTCCATGGACTAGACTATCACCTATCATTTGCATGCCTTCTTTCATTAGCCGCAGTCAGAAGTTTGGCTAAAGTAGTAGCAAAGCAACTTCTCTGAACCCACTATATATATATATATATATATATATATATATATATATATATATAGAGAGAGAGAGAGAGAGAGAGAGAGAGAGAGAGAAAGAAAGAGAGATGTGTGTGAGAAAGAGATAGAAAATATCTGTAAAAGGACAATATGAATAAAGACAAAGGGAAAACTTATCTTAGACGACGCGTTTCTTCATCTGAGAGACTTTATCTTGGCAAATGTAAGGATTTTAATTTAAGACAAGTGTTTATATACAAGAACAAGGATAAAAAATTAAAATAAAACTGTTCTACTTTTGTCTTTATTCATATTTGTTGTAGTACGATCCACCTAATTTACATAGTGGAGTACCGACCATATAAATATGGGTTGGTACCGGGAAGACGAGGGAAGTAACAAGAGATCCAATCCAGAGACTCTGCCCGACTGCGATTAAGTCAACCCATTCTACAGGAACAGTCTTCCCAAGAATATACCAAAACTAACTGTAAATATTGTGTACCTTTTCCTTGTTTCAATACATTTTGTTTACGTACATTTTGTGTTGTATTATTATTATTCCATGCTTATCCAAGCTTCAACAATATTGTTCTTTCACAGTTATAAACTGTTAGCATAGAATTTAAGGTTAAATCTAGCTCGACTGTAAATTGGTGAGACCTTGTCGCCAGACTAGCACTGTGTTTAAATTCAGTCTAGGCACCATAACTAACAACTCATCCGAACAATTACCAATAAAGTGTTATAGAAAAGGCAAGCGTACAGCGGTGGGAAAGTGACTGTAGCCAAGACGCCAAATCCGGGCCAATAATATTGCTATTTTTTTCTTGGAATTTCTAAATAAATATCAGGAGCAGCGGGCCATATGTTGCTGCAATATTCTAAGCATGGACGAGTGGTACACTTGTAGATATGTAAGATTTGAATCCAGAGAGAAAAACCGTTTAACACTACACAGTGAACCAACATTCCTAGCAATAGATTCAGTATAGTCTTACCACTTCATGTCAGCCGAGAATATTAGTCCACGAAGGCGCAACGAGTCACTCTCCTGGAGGTCAGCGTGATTTTTGTTTTTCTTTTTTTCATTTTTTTTTTTTTTTGAACGGTACATTTATACATTTATAAGATAGATTCTGGCGAGAAAAGTGTTTAAAACTGTACAGTAATACACTTTCCCAGCAGCGGACATAGCAATTTAACCAATATTATGTTTCCACTTCATATCAGCGGAAAATGTTGGCAATGAGTCAATCTCCTGTAGGTCGTGCCAAAATAAGGCAAAATAAAGGTTCCTTAAGACGATTAAATATTTAAATGGACTTATTTTGCAGGAATTGATAATTCAATCTGATGTCAAAATCTAGATTTCACATATAGATTTTTCAACATAAATTCTTTTATTATATCAATTATTCGAACTAATGACCGAATTTTGAGATTTACTAAAGGATGTTTACCTATGTTGTCTATTGAGAAATCTCAGTGACAAGTGTTTTTCCTTACATGACTTCAAAGGTTATATCACTTGACAGGCTGACGTCGCCAAAATGACACAGTGATATGCAAGTGGTTTGGTTATATCATGAAATAAAGGCTTTGTTTTCTTTCTCTTTCTTTTGAACTGTCGAGAAAAAAATGCTAAAAAACTGCATGCTATGAATTTTTCATCTTCCTGGCATCAAATATGACGAGAGGAAAAAAAATGCCTCGTCTCCATACAGTCCTGTCATTTTTTGCGTTATTCTTGAAGTTAGTGTTATCATTGATTCATAGTTGTTATTTTTTTTAATCCATGTTTGTTGTGATCTTTGTGGTTGTTTCAAGTGTCACAACAATTATTGGAATGGTCGTCACTCTGAGAGCCAATAGCTTCTGAGGTTGTAGAGTTACATATTGACTTTTACCAATTTCTTTCTTCTTTTCATTCTCCCTCTTTCTATCTAGCTTAGTCTCTTCTTATTTATCTCTGTCTTTCAGTATCTGTCATTGTATTTATTTTCTTTTTTTATATCTATAACTGTGTATTTTCTATAACTGTGTATTTTCTATCTGTCTCAGTCTGTTCCTATATATCTCGTTTGCGGTTTAGATAACGGGTCGGAATGAAAAATTAGAGTCGGGTTCAAATTCTAGTTTTGTCTGTTGCATTCATTTACGCAAAAATACATTTGGGAAAGGCGAGAATCCGTTTCCTTCCCTAGCTATGGGTTAAAGAGTAGAACTTCTATCTGGAAAATCATTGTAAATCTCTAAACTATTCACTCGCAAAAATTATTCTTACAATTCGGCTTTAAATAACCTTCAAGGGGTTGAAAAGCCGTAGAAAACAAATCAGACAACAATTCCTATCTATATATCTCTCACAGTCTCCTTCTAGGTAGCTATCTCAACCTATTATTGCCTATCTTTTGCTGCATCTATATATATATATATATATATATATATATATATATATATATATATATATATATCGATCTATTTCAATCTATTCATTATCTATCTATGTCGGTCAGTTCAGTATCTATCTATCAATTTCAGTCTATTCATTATCTATCTATCTATCTGTCTCAGTCTGTTCAATATCTATCTATCTATTTCAGTTCTTTCATTATCTATCTATATTAGTCAATTCAGTATCTATCTATCAATTTATTTCAGTCTATTCATTATCTATCTATCCATGTCAATTAAGTATCTATCTATTTCAGTCTATCTATGTATCTATCTATCTATGTCAATTCAGTATCTATCTACCTATCTATATATCTATTTCTGTCTATTCATTATCTATCTATCTATTTCGGTCTATTCATTATCTATCTATCTATCTATCTATCTATCTATCTATCTATCTATCTATCTATTTCTGTCTATTCATTATCTATTATCTATCTATTTCTGTCTATTCAGTGTCTATCTATCTATCTATCTACCTATCTAACTATCTATCTATCTATGTTTTTTCTAAACAGTATCTTTATTTTCGTCTGCCAGCTTCTATATTCGAGAAATCTTATGAAAGAATGCGCCCTCCGGCAGGATTCGAACCTGCGCCCACTTTGCCGGTGCCATAGCTGTCAGTAAAGAACGTTCCAGTAGGACTGAGGCTGTTGATGATGATGATGATCAATTTGAAGTGCTATTTATAATTAGTTAGATCCCACGACACGGACATCGAAATACTAGACTGGCGGCTCGGTCTCATCATTTTACGGTTCAAATAGCTAGATAAAACCGTAAGTTCTATGCTAACAGTTTCCTCTCTCGAACACTTCACGTTTGGGGAACTCTCTTCCGGCTTCTTGCTTCTCAGTCAACTTTGAACTTCAAAAATGCAACGCCAATCATTATCTTCAGTCTTCGTAATACCTGTTCTTGTATCTCTCTCTCTCTCTCTCTCTCTCTTTCTCTCTCTCTCTCTTTCTCTCTCTCTCTTTCTCTCTCCGCCCTCTCTCTCTCTCTCGACCCTCTCTCTCTCCACCCCTCTCTCTCTCTCCACCCCTCTCTCTCTCTCTAATAATGTTTTTTTCATATTCTCTAACATTTAGTAACACCTTGCGTCTTGGTGGCTATATTGCCCTGCTTGGGGTGAAATAATTAAAAAAAAATATATAAATTTATTTTTCAAAAACGTTACGAACCGTTTGACTCATTACCTGTTTGCGGATTCAGTTTTCTAATTTTATTGAAGCCGCAGATTTAAGTCAATAAACAAATTTCGCGAGACAAGTTCGTCAACACACATCAAGCAACAAGCAGACAAATAAAACATTAAAACGTCAGAAATCATCTCCTAATTAGCTTTAGGTAGACAACTTCCATTAGATGTTTATGAAACAAAGAAAAATCTGTGGAAGACAAACTTAAATTGTATATTCTAAAACAACAGACGACAATACTTTAATTTTATTTTGTGGTACATCTTTGCTATTAACCAATCAGTGCATCTTTTCACTTGCCGCCTTTTTCTGTTCATTTTTTCCTTTTTCTTTACTTTTCTTTTTCTTTTTTTTTTTTCTTTTTTTTTTTTTGTCTGGGAAGAGATTTTCGACTCCTTTTACAAAAATAAAAGAAAAATTTCAGCTCAATTAGACCTAAACGTTTTAATGAGGAGAAAATGTTTTAGCTTCAAGTTTAATTTATATCTTTTTCAAGTGCCGATCTTAAATGATTTTAACTACTTGGGTAAATTAGAGACCAAAATAGATAAACAAATTGCCTACCTTGATACTAAGTTTCTTCTTTGCCGGTGATAATTCTGTTTTCACTGTCTTTTATTTTCTTTTTCTTTCTTTTCAATTAAACTTTTCGAAATCAAAATAACATTACTATAATGGCGATCGTCATTCATAAAACTTTAATGAAATGTCTTTACTTATCAAAACCGACAAGGAAAAAAACAAATCGAATAGATAAGTGTCTGTTCTGCCGTTAATTATAAGTAAACTTTCTCCTGATTTTAATTATTTGATACTTTTATTAACATATTCATTCCATGTATATATCTAATATATAAAGCTTCAAGTTTGTCTGTTCGCATTAACTCTAAACACAGAAAATAAAACAAATATATATATAAAGTTCGTTGTCGGTATGCTTGCCAATACTGTTTAAAACAGATCAAATAAATGCAATACGGCTATTTATCGTAGCCTGTTCCTCAATCGGTACGCCCGGGTTCATTAATGAGCCTTGAAATATAGGCAGGTGCGTCACAAGTTAATAGAAGAGGAATTAATTAATTATTTTTATATTTTAAAAAAAATCTTCCTTTTTTAAAAGCTAGAAATACCAATCACATGGCGTTCATGTCTTGGTCAAGTTTTTGTCATTTGATATTTTAAATTTGGATGCTAAATTACTTAATCTTTAAGGAGTGGATAATCCTTTCCCTTTTGCCTTACTCAAGAAATTTAAGTCAATCATTATCGACCTCTCAAAACATAAAAGCAGATGCTTGATAAATCCATTTAAAAATGAAAACTGCAACGCTAATCTTCTTTGGCAACGCTAAACTAAAATGTTATATTTTCAAAGTTCATGACTAATTTTTACTTATTAAAATTTAAAGTGCCTCCCAGAGTTTTAGTCATTCTACAAGTGCACCCTGAAATAAAAAAAAAATCTTGAGAAAGACTGCTTTAGGATATAAGGGATCATGGCTCTCCAAACTTTCCATCCTTTGCAGCTCTAAGCATTGTTCATTCCAGTCGAGTTTCTATCATCAAATTATATCAGCTCATAGGTTATTTACTTCTTATCGAAGTTCGCTTCCATCAAGGAAAGTTGAAAGTAATATTAAGCTCAAGCCATAAAAAAAGACATAAATTACTCGCTATTTCCCCGTGACTCTTCAGTATGTCCCGTGGGTGACAAATTCTCCAAACACTCTTTCCTCATTAATATCCTCAGAAATGTCAACTCTTTCTGTTTCGAGTCTAAGTATAAATGTCCTATTTTATTTTCCTTAAAGCTTCTTCGTTGCTCACATGCACCGCCCATGGCATTCTCAGCATCTTTCTGTAGAACAACATATCTGATGCCTTGTCTCCTGTTCATCTTTGAGGAAATTGTCCCACATTCACTGCCATAAAAGAGGACTACCTTCTCTAGGAGTTCCTATAGTTTTCTTGGTGTAGTCTACCAACAATCTCATTTGTATTTATTGTATTATAGAGTTTTAACCCAACAATAATAAATCACCTACTTACCACTAAATGTATATCTACGCTTCATCCGATGTCAGTGGCTGCTCCCGACAATATAAACACGTGGTTGTCCCAATTACGCCTAGGATATTCAAGTGTGGGGAAAATATGTATAAGTAGATGTATAAACATCTATCCAAGAGGGAAAATGGGTAGCGTTTTTCAAATCCTTAGAAGATATGGAATCTACGTTCGGCAAAGGCCATAAGCGGTGCTCCCATTAACCGACAGGTATTGATGAAGTTGAGTTAAATAAAATTTATGAGATAATATAACGTTACGTTATAACATGCTGTATATGAAATCATCATCATGGTTTGGCTTCCTAAAATGAAGATCAAGAGGGAGTCTATTCACGTCGATTGCAAATATGTCCAATGCGGGACAGGCATACACGGTCGCAACAGTTACAGCTGGAAGTCCGGTCTGGGCTCGATGGCATAGCGTTGTATATGAAATGAAAGTTCACTAAAAGCCCACTAAAATATTTAACCTACTGAACTGGTTTGGTTCTGAAAACATTTGTTCATACTATTTACGTTTTTTTACTGCGATGCAAAAAGGGCTTAACTCCAGCTTTGTGAAGCGAGAAAAAGACACCTCAAAGATTAAAAAAAATAAAAATATCGAATACGATTTTTAAAAATTTGGGCCGAACTTCACAAGAAAGTCTTTGCATCAGAATATTGTCTATCTCATCTCATAAAAAGGAGTCTTCTGATTTCAGAAATGAAAAAAAATACATACATATATCAACTGACGCCCTTTTAGAAACTCATCGACGATTTGTAAATCTCTGAAAGAACTGACCACGTAGCGCATTGGGACAAATGAAAAGGGTTTAGCCTGTACAATACAGAGTATCATCGCCAGTTTTATATCGATAATAATCTGTCTGTATGTCGTTTCTGTAGTTTCCTAAAAGAGCTGTTCGGAAGAGCTGTCTTTCAAGAAAATAAAATCTACATTTGGATTTTCACGCAATATAACAATTAAACTGAATTTAAATTCTTCGGGTTGGACAGAAGAGAAACAAAAACATTCTAAGTCTTTATCCGATGAAGATATTTACTTCAACCAATCTGAACGAATTTGTTGATTTTCATTGAAATGTGCCGAGTTCACTTGCTGACGTGATCGATTACAAATCCACGCTTTCATCATTTATGGTCAAAGCTGATTATAAATATTTACGCTGGTGACGTTTCTGACTCTATTTTATTACTTAGTAAGGTTGTTATTCTAACTCGTGCCAATTATAAGCATTGATTTTCCGAGTTTGCACTATATTTATTGCTACATATCTCCATTAATAACGATCAGCGAAGAAAAGTGGTTGAATAATATTACAAAGTTATCTCCCTTGGCTGTGCTTAGCGAACATGACCGATTAATCTCGGCATCTATTCATCTCTATCTCAAATCACAATGGGAACAAAACAGGTTTTCATTTGTATTGAATGACAAAAGATGACAATGAATTATATCACATGGATAAAAGAAAATCTACGTCTAGTGCAGAGAGAGGGAATCTTTGTTTGCTGCGTGATTTTTGGAACTTTAAAAATTTTTATAAGCATCAATGGGTCCCTCATATAATTACGGATATTTTTTAATGAGAAATTTGTTGGTGCATTTTAGTTGCTAATGTTTTTAATTTGAGGTAATTATAAAGGAACTATCACAAATGAATTCACAATAGTCACATATTTTAAATTATCAGAGTAAACACTAAAAATAGATAACACTACTACTGATAAAATGCAAATAGATACAAAACCTACCTAGACAGCTGCACGAAACATTATAAAACTGGCTGAGTATCAGCTAGATGTGTTTAGGTATACACAAAATACAAACTAAACTCCGGGGGGGTCGTTAAATTTGATTGTCTGAAACATTTTTCACGATGCCATTTCACTAATTCCGCATGAGTCACTAGCATATTGATGGTAGGTCAGTTCATGACCTGCGGGTTAGGGGTTCGCATCTCTGTACTTGGGTATAACACGCAGGTTAAATTGAAAGAATGATAAGAAATTGATCTGAATGCTCTCAATCTGCCACTGGCAGAAATATCGACTAATGATGATAAAATTGCAAAACTACAAAATAAATTTATAAAATGTATTTATTACAATATTCACTTACTTGGTACCTAACTTGGCAAAAAACTTTTATAAAAAAATAAATAAATTTATATTTAATTGAAGATTTATTCATTCATATATATTTGATATTTTCTCACAACGTTTCTGTCGAGCACCTTCTGGTCTTCATCAGGTATCTTCTGCCTTCTTGATTTATGCGTTGGTTCTTGCATTTGAGAACATAGTAATTGCGATTTCAATCCCTGGGTCTACTTATTACTGTGCAAAACCTCTGCCATAGTCACATGTATGTAAACATAATTAGGAATGTTTTGCTTTCAATCTTCTTCTAATGAAGTTGAGCTGTCATCATTTCACTAATTATTCTTCGTATTATATTCGTCATTTGGGAATGACATTAAATTACATTTTTGAATTTGTTTATTTTACAAACTTGATAATCTTTTACATTTTTCTCTTTTACTAAGCAATGTTTTTTCACAATATGTTTGAAGTCAAATAAACGTGCAAAAGTAACTGAAACAACAAAATTGAGTCGATGAATACACACACACACACACATATATATATATATATATATATATATATATATATATATATGCGTTACTGAAATAATTCAGTCAATGATGTAGTAAAACAACTGAATTTCATGTCATTGTTATTTCTTTAATGTTTCACCCAATTTGTGCAACTAATGT